TGTGCAATGAGATTATGCAATAATCAATCAATAATTGCATCTAGTTTTGTTGATGTTAACCTTTTTGTTTTCAATATCTAGGAATAAACTAAAGAAAATTGAACCCAAAATTTGAAAAAGTGGCTAGACATCTCTTAATAAAAATAAATTGTTTTTTTTTTATTAAATTTAAAGTTTTCAAAAATTCAAAAATCTGGACTAAAACGAAGTCAAAAACATATATTGACCAAAAAGTTATTTATTTTCTAAAACGAATAAATGAAAAAATAAAATTTTGGAGTTGAAGAAAAGGTAGGTGGGTAAAAATTTAAGGGTTAATGTGCTCATGCATATTTATAACAAATATCAGGTTCTAATTTCGGCTAATTTTACATTTTCTAAACGTTTCAAGTCATTCTGAATCGGATGAGACCGAATTTGGAAAAAATATGTGTGTGAATTTGAGCTGATTTTTCATCTTTCGTCAAAGTGTTCTCAAAAACGACTCGATCGATTTCAAAAATTAAAAGCCTTTTAGATGTAACTCGATAAGGACTTTCGTTTGTCAGTTTTGTGCGATGATCAGCCAAGCCGTTCTTTGTTAATATAAATAGATGCATTAAACCTCCTGCAAAATGCGTTGAATTGTATAAATTAATAAAATTTAGAACAATTTTAGGACATACAAACACAAGTGTCATGTGCACTGTAATTACAATTACAAAATCCTTAAAAGCTCGCTCACGTGATTAATGGACGTCCATTACAAAAAGATAAAAAGGATTCTACTGACGAGCAAGTTAAATATCAACAACTAGGAGATAAGAAAAGGACTCTACAGACAAGTTAATTAAATATCATCAAATAAAGGCATGAGTCATAATTATAATGCTGTGTGTAAAATACTGACAAACGAACCCTACTGACGAACAAACTGCTTAATACTGCAAAAATTTCAAATTAAGATTTTCAATTGAGAAAGGGACTCTACTGACGTGAAATTACGTAATAAATGTAAACATCAAGTAACAAAATCTTTTAAGGAAACTGAAAAAAGAGAAAGAACTCTACTGACTAATAATCTGAAACAAAGCAGAAAGTCAACTTTCTGATAAATAATTAATAAGCAAAACTAGTTGTAAGTTGCATTTTTGCTTTAAGATAAGTTGCAACTAATTGAGATTTTTGGACTAATTCTGACGCATAACAGACCAATGTTATGGCATGGTCATATTATGAAGAACTTTCTATACTGAATATTGACAAAAGCCATGCGGTTGCTATGCAGTCAGGCGTATTTATCAGATTGTGAGATAGAAAACAAAACACAGAAACCGCACAAATGTGAAAAGAACGATCTTAGATAACAGGATCTTTCAGACCCAGCTTCATAACATACGAGTGACGTTGCAGTTAATGTGTAAAACGCCTGAATCCACAACAAATACATGTCATTTTGACTGTATTCAGTATGATTCAGTAGCATAATGTATGGAAGTTGGAACGCAACATGGCCTTGCCATAACATTTGTCTGTTGTAAGGCAGAATCCTCTAATATTTTTATTTTAAATTGTTAAGAATTAGTTTTGTCGTCTTATAGTAAAATATTACTTGTTCATTAGAAATATTTCAATTAAATATAACGCTATATACTTATAAAAATTTTAAAACCATTATTTCGAGTAATATACAATCACAAACATAACCTAGAATGTGTGTAACATCGTCTAATAGCTTTGGAAAACTAAAAACTAGTTTATTAGACGACAATATTTTGGCATTTTAAATTAAATCACTTTAAATTTAAAATAAAAGCAGTTTAAAATACAAAGTACAATTTAAATAAAAACAATCGGACAAATTCTATCAACCAATAATTTTGACAGTGAAAATGAAATGATTTAAAAAACTCTCTGCTTATATTGACAATACAATTGCTTTTGGGAAATAAAAACATTATTACGTCTTTTTTATTTTCCATAAAATATTTTTGTAATTTTGGATTAAAAATTCAAAAAATTTAAAATCATCCATGCTAAGCACAGTCTAACCGCCACTCTGGTACAAATATATTCGAAAGTGCGTTTAGACTGTTTATGTACTGGAGCAATTTTCCAATTTGTGAAAAAAAACTATTGAAAAATGTGAAAATGCCGCCAAGCTAAGCACAGTATAAGTGAATATGTCGCACAGAGAATATTTGCAAATGCGTTTAGACTGTGACTATACGGAAGCACTTTTTCAAATTTGTGCAAAATTAGGCAACTAATTTTTTTTTTAAATTGAATTCGAAATGACGAACGTTGTTAATGTTCTGGAGATAAATTTTGGAGATTTATGATTTACATTTGATTTGCTCAGATATAACAAACAAGATAGTAAAAATAATTAAAGTTACAGAGTATTTGTAATAATATATTTGAAAACGTTTAAAATTTCTTGAATATTTCGTTACGGTACGGGAAGTTCCTGCAATTTGTCTTAAGGCACGATGCCATACACCACTAGTTTCTCTTAAAATTAATTGTATTTTCAGATTATACTTTTCTATTTCTACAATCCAGTAATGAACTATTTACTGTATGTAATATTTATTTTTGAAATAAACAGTTGAACTAACTTTATATAAATATCTAAATTTTAATTTCGATTGATTAAGTCAATTATTGAACTTATCGGGAAGTTCGTGCAACTTGCCTTAAGGCTAAATGCCACTTCCGACTAGTTCAGAAATGCAAACATAACCTAGAATGTCATTATAACGTCTGAATGATTTGGGAAAACTATTGCATTATATGACAATATTTTAGCACTTCAAATTAAAAAATAAAGCAGTTTAGAATATTAAATTACAATTTAAAATAAAATAAAAACAATCGGACAAATTCATTCAATCAATTATTATTTGACAGTTGTCAAAATTCAAACGTTAATTTCAAATTTCCATTACCGCCATCTAGCGCCACTTATTCCAACTCCTTTATCATTTCTCAAGAAAAATAACATTCACAAAGAAATTGAAACATCAAACAAGAATATTCTGGAATTGTAGTGAATTTGTTTACAAAAACCCATTTTACTGGCGAAAATAATAGATAATATCAATTAACACGATGGTGGATTACAGCAAATGGAAAAATATTGAGGTAAATTATTGTATTTATTTGTTAAATGACGTTTGAAAGTTTTTTTTTAGGTTAGGTTAGGAGGTTTGTTTTTGAGGCGTAGTCTTTAAAGGAATTGTAATAGATATAATAGGTAGAAGATAATTATGGGGATATATGTTTGTACAGATGTGTTTATGAGGTTTTGTAAACAAGGTTTTGTTTGAATTTGTGCAACATGCTAGTTTTGCTTATCGACATGTACTGGAGTCTTGGATTATGTCAACAAATTTATCCACCGGATGATTTAGTTTATATAAGTATGGTTGGCATAAGTGTATACTTCAATTTGTTTATATTATTATAATAGTCAAACTCAAACCCATTTTAACAACCATGTAGACTTTCTACATTGGCTATTGTTACTTCGAGTCACAACATAAGTAATTGTTTGCTTCATTTCAATTTATTTACTATTGAGCAGGTTTGACAATTTTTAAATCTAGCATTTCATAACACTAATTTCAAGGTATTTAGATTGTTTAATAGCGTGAAGAAACTATTTGGTTTCTTTAAAGAGTTCTCTTCATTCTTTTATTTAACCATAAGCAAGTCATAATTAATAATCTTGCCAAAACTTGATTGTAATAAGTAACTAAAGTAAAATTGTTGAAAACCATATTCGATAGCTGTATACCGTTTGCTTAACTGAATGTAAAAACAATAAATTTATTTATTGTGATAGTTATCTTACAGCTTTGAAATTTGTATTGCTTTGATAATGCTTTTCACAATATTGATAAGAACTTTATAAATCTCTTGATAAAAAGTACTATTTTACATATTTTTCATTATATATGACATAAATTTAATGAAATCGAATAAGAACTAAGTTGTCCTCTGTACTATTTATATTACAGCAATTATGATCGTAGACAATTTGCATCTTTTCTGTATTTATTCAATATGGTAACTTTTACATCGCTTGACAGATTAATAAAGCATATTTAGGATGTTTGTACAGAATTAAATATTATACTGCATATTTCTAATTAAAACTATATAGAGATTTGTTTAAAAACGCTAAATTCATCCTTCTTGTTTTCTGTCTATAAATTAAGTATAAGTTATTTACAGGTTCTTGATGAACCTAAGTTCCTTTTATACTGTTTATAGATCTCAAATTTTCAATTAACTTCTCGAAGTTAACCTTTAGTTAGAGTAATTACAATAAAATTTATTTGAAAATGTTTGTACATCTTTATGTTTCAAAACCTTCTGAACATTTTTGCATACCTTATCGTTAGAGAAAATGTATGTGTGTGTGTGTGTTTGGATGCAAAAATATCGGATTTTGAGAGAACAGAGTATCCAATTTAAATGATTCAGAAAACATTTTTTGAGAGGACAGAGTATCTAATTTAAATTATTCAAAAAGCATTTTTTATTGATTTTTCGAAAGGCAGGTACATCGGTTTCGGAGATCCAGTAAAAAACATTAAAAAAAATACCATTTGGCGATGATGAATCAGATATTTTTGACGATCAGGATCATGCGACACAAATGGATATCGAAAACTTTTAAGAATTTTCAAAATTTTCAAAAAATATCAGTTTTTCAAAAATTTCCCAAGTTTTTTTTTAAAAGCAGTATTTTAACAAATTTCATGATTTTTAAAAAATGTGTTTTTTTTAATATTCAAATTTGAAAAGTTTTTTCAAAAATGTTCGAGAAAATTAAAATTCTCAAATAAAATCTAATTTTTCTTTTCCAAACTTTACAAAAATTTTAAATTACGGTACGGGAAGTTCCAGCAAGTTGTTTTAAGATATGATGCCATACACCACTAGTTTTCTTTTCCAATTTGCTCGTCGATAGAGTCCCTTTCTCATTTTCTTTTTTAAATTGCACCTCAGTAGAGTTTCTTTTTCATTTTTTTCTTTAGTTTGCATGTCAGTAGAGTCTCTTTTCCATTTTCTTCTTTAGCTTTCTTAAACAGAAAAGATTTCTTGTTTTTTTTGTTCGTTAGTAGAGTTCTTTATTTATTTTGTATATAATTATTTACTTTCCTCGGCAGTAGAGTCCCTTTTTGTATTTTCTTTTTCAGTTTGCTCGTCAGTAGAGCCCCTTTTCATTTTCATTCTCAATTTACTCGTCCCTATTTTGTTTTAAAATTTTTATTTGCTTGTCAGTAGAGACCCTTTCTCCTATTTTTTCCCCAGTCCTAATTTAGTTTGCTTGTCAGTAGAGTCCTTTTTTTTTGTTTTACAATGTTTATTGCCTCGTCAGCTGACGTAGTCCCTTTCTCTTAATTTATTTTCTGGTCCTAACTTAGTCAGCTCGTCAGTAGAGTCCCTTTTTAATTTTATTTTTGATTTTGCATATCAATAGATTTCATATTAATTTTTTTTTTCGTTCGCTCGTCAGTAGAGTCCCTTTTTCATTAACATTTCTCTCTTAGTCTTAATATTTGTTTGTCAGTAGAGTCACTTTTTTGTTTTTAAAAAATTTATTTGCTCGTCAGTAGAGTCCCTTTCTCTTAATATTTTTCTCCAGCACTAATTTAGCTTGCTCGTCAGTAGAGTCATTTTTTACTTTAGCATTTTTGTCTCAACATTAATATTTCCTCGTCAGTAGAGTCCATTACTCTAATATTTTTTGCCAGTCCCAATTTAGTTTTGTCAGTAATGTCCCTTTTTTGTTTTAGAATTTGCATTTGCTTGTCAGTAGACTTTCTTTATTATTTTATTTCGTATGTTCATTTTGATCGTCAGTAGAGTCACTCTCTCCTAATATTTTTCTCCCAGTTTCAATTTAATTTGCTCGTCAGTAGAGTCTCATTTACGTTTTACAATTTTCATTTGCTCGTCAATAGAGTCCCTATTTCTATTTAGAATTATCATTTGCTCGTCAGTAGAGTCCCTTTCTCCTAATTTTTTCCTCGGCGCTAATTTAGTTTGCTCGGTCAGTAGAGTTCTTTTTTGTTTTAGATTTTTTATTTGCCTGTCAGTAGAGTCCTGTTTTACTTCAGCATTTTTGTCTCAACATTAATATTTGCTTGTCAGTACAGTTTCTTTTTTGTTTTAGAATTTTTATTTGCTCGTTATTAAAGTCTTCTAATATTTTTCCACACTCCCAAATTAGTTTGCCCGTCAGTAGAGTCCCTTTTCCATTTAATTCCTTCGTTTTTACGTCAATCGAGTCCTTACTTTATTTTCGTAACGCTCACCATGCGCAACCCAGCCTAACCAAAAACGCACTAGAAAACCTTGTGTGAGGTTTGGACGACACGGCAAGCACTCGCCAAACCTTAAACCTTCAATTCAGTATACACAATTATTATCACCATTTTACCATTTTTTTTCATTCTTTCAAAAAAAAATTATTTTATTTTTTTATTACCAGATCTCCGACGATGAAGACGAAACCCACCCAAACATCGACACACCATCCCTATTCCGTTGGCGGCACCAGGCCCGGGTCGAACGCATGGAGCAGATGCAGAAGGAGCTCGAGGAGCACGAGAAAACCAAGAAGGAAAACGAGCGCAAACGAACCGAAATACAAGAGAAATTAAAATCTACATCTGGGGGCGACATTGAGGATCTGAAAAAATCCTTAGCCAACCTCGAAATGGAAGCCGAAAAACTCAAACAGAAGGAGGAAGAGATCAAGAAAAAGGAAAAGACGACTCCTTGGAATGTGGATACTATAAGTAAATCAGGATTCGAGAAAACTGTAATAAATAAACAAGTGAAGCCTAAGGAGGATAATTTAACGGAGGAGCAACGCGAGGCTAACATGAGAGAGTTTATTAAGAAGTATGAGAAGGAGTTGAAGGTCTTTGGGATGATGAGGAGGTAAGTTCCTTTTTTCTAGATTATTTTTTATTTATTAACTTCCCGTAGGATAAGTTATTGTAATCGTCCAAAAATCGAAATCGAAATTTTTTACATTTCTCGACGTTTTGAAGGTTTCTGAACGTTTTGGCATACCTCAGAAAAAATGGATGTGTGTGTGTGTGTGTGTGTGTGTATGTATGTATGTGTGGATACAAATTTCCAGTCACGTTTTAGGGCGCACGGATCAACCGATTTGAATGGTTCAAAAAACATTCGATTCCTATTGATAGGGAAAAGAGCTGATTAGTTTTTGGCAAAGGCAGGTCCAGCCATTTCGAAGATACGGAGCTAAATATGTAAAAAATTGCAGTTTTTGAGAGAACTAAGCGTCCGATTTTAATAATTCAAAAAACATTTTACTTATATTGACAAGATGAAGAATCGATCAAATTTTCATAAAGGCAGGTCTAGCGGTTTCGGAGATCTAATGAAAAAAGTAAAAAAAAATGCCATTTGGCGGTCAAAAATGATCATTAGATTTATGCACATCAAATTATCAGATATTTTATAGAGATTTTAACAATAAGTATAAATTTTGTTTACATTCCTATGGGTTCCGTACCAATGTTTACCCGTTATACAGTGACGCGGCGCTTACGCGCTTTATATTTTGTCTCTATGCAGTTCAAGCAGTGCGATTGCTTTGAAAAAAAGTTCAGAATTTCCAAAATATGTCAAAATGAAGAAAACATTTTTTTTTTCAAAAAAATTTTTTGTTTTCAAAAAAAAAATTTTTTTCTCAAAAAAAAGTAATTTTTTGTCAAATTTATAGTTTCTCAAAAATCTTTTTCAAAGTAAAATTTTTTCAAAAATGTTAAACGTTTTTAAAAAAAATAATAATTTTTGGTACGGGAAGTTCCAGCAATTTGCCTTAAGGCACGATGCCCTAATTGCCTTAAGACAGAATTCCACTTACATCTAGTTTACGATTAGTGTTAGCAGTATCGAGGCAAAAGATCGATATTGAGTATTTTAACACTATAGTCTAAGAGCCAAAGAACTATTTGACTAACATGTTTTCTCAGAGCTAAAATTTTTTTTAATGATATTTTATTATCGGTACATTAAGAAAGTGCCGGTCTGGCAAGCATCTCGCGATTGCGTCATCATCCCTCGAGTTTTTGAAAATTTAAAAAAAAATTTTTTAACTTCCCGAAGGAGAAGTTTATGTTTTCATCAAAAAATCCGATTTGCTAATTTTATGTTTTCCCGAAGTTTCAAGCCATTCTGAATCGAATGAGACCAAGTTCAAGGGAAAAGTATGTGTGTGTGTATGTGTGTGTGCGTGTGTGTGAACAGATTTTTTGCCGTAAATCGACGTTTTCTCGAAAACGGCTGGGCCGATTTCAAAAATTTAAAAGCCATTCGATGTATCTCGATGAGGACTATTGTTTGTCAGTTTTGTGGGACGATCGGCCAAGCTGTTTTTTTATAAATCGCAAAAAAGTGAAAAAAATTTCGTCTACGTTTTAGCCCGCAATTCTTAATCGATTTTGAAAATTCAAAAACCGTTCGAAAGATATTGGTTGGGAATCGTGCCGATTAGTTTTTGGTAAAGATCGGCCGGGCCGTTTTCTTGTAATAAAGTGTTAAAAAATTTTTTTCGACGATTTTAATTATTATTTTTTGACGGAAGATACTATAGTCTTCTAGATCATACTAAAATATTACGGCCCTACGACAACTGGTTTAGCTTTAAAAATTCGTCAAAGTTTGCAAAAATTGGTATCGTTTTTTTGGAATTTATCAAAATTAGAACTTTCATCGACGTTTTCTCAAAAACGCCTGAACCGTTTTCAGAAATTTAAAAGCCATTTGATGTATATCGACGAGGACTATCGTTTGTCAGTTTTGTGCGACGATCTGCGATGCCGTTTCTTTGTAATTTGAAAAAAAGTGTTAAACTTTTCTTCCACATTTAAGCTCATCCTACCGAACCGATTTTAAAAAATCAAAAACTGTTCAAAAGATATCAGTTGGGATTGATGCTGATTAGTTTTAGGTGAAAATCTATCGAGCCGTTTTCTTGTAATTAACTGTTGAAAAAAAATTTAAGCCGATTTTCATGGAACTTTTTTTAGCGATATACATCATGGTCTTATAGAACTTACTGTGATATTACGGCCTTACGACAAGTAGTTTAATTTTAAAAATTCATCAAAATTTGTCAAAATGAGTAGTTTTTTTGACGTTAGCTAAAATTAAAATTGGACGATTTATTTGGTATAACAATATAGTACTTGGTCTTAATAAATATACGTACTAAACCATTATAATCCTACGGAAACTGGTTCAAATATAATAATTGTTGCTTTTTGAAAATATTCCGAGTCAAAGTGTTCGTTCGTTTCAATGATGTGTAATAAATCCACTCGGAATACTTTTAATCACGCATAAATCAATTTATTTCTTATTGATTAAGTCGATTATTTACACATATCGGGAAGTTCATGTAACTTGCCTCAAGGCTAAATACCAATACCAACTAGTTTATTAGTGTGGTCATATTCATTTTGGGTTTTTGAGCAATAAATTCTGAGACTAATGACCCTTCGGGGTCATTTTTTGGCACTTCTTTGAACAGTTATGACCACCTAGAGAGACTATTGCATTGCATTTCGCAAAATGAGTGGTTTCATAGATTACACTGTCGATTCTTTTTGAGTACTATCGACGAAAAGAATCGATATTGGCAAATAGATCGAGCTAAAAAATCGATAGGAAAAGTACTCACTATTTTTTAATTTTTTTTTTAATATTTTATTTTATCTTCTATATATATAAAAATAAGTCGGGGTTTCCTTCCTGACGAAATAACTCCAGAACGCACGAACCGATTTCGACAATTTTGCATTCGTTGGAAAGGTCTCGGGCACCGCAACGTTTATAGCTAAGAAAATTAGTGGTGCATGGCATCGTGCCTTAATGCAAGCTGCTGGAACTTCACGCACCGTAATTAAAAATTCGAGTAATGACATTAGTGAGAATTATCTGAATTATGCTTGGTTAAGTCAACGAGCAATTCTTGCCGCCAAGAGATATGATGTACACGCACTGAATTTCACCATTCAATCAAAAATTGCTGGCGATTTGGTGGCATACCAATGATTCCGACTGGGCTTCCGTTTGACTTCAAACGATTGCAATTTGCAGTTCGCCTTGCGTTCGCAATAACAAGTCGCAAGGCTAATAGCTTAGTGTTTGCGGGATCAATTTCAAATAGATTATTTAGAAAATTATTGTTTTTCACATGGACAGTTATACGTTGCCTGTTCACGAGTTGGAAAACCATCCGCTTTGTTTGTGTTAACGTCAGACCAAAAAACAAAAAATGTGGTTTACCAAAGAGCACTTGAATGAAACGGATAATTTGCGGATTCACTTTCATTTACTTAGAGAAGTTCAACTAAAAAACTAATAGAATAGAAATAAATTCATTACTGTTGTGCAATAAAATCAAATTTTTCCTTTTCAAATATAAAACAAACAAAAAATTCCTTCATCTTTCTCACAAAACCGTCTGATGGCGAAACGGAGTTCGTCGGGTTTGCTAGTTTATTTATATATATATATATATATATATATATATATATATATATATATATATATATATATATATATATATATGAGTGAGTTCTTGAGGGCGATACATTAAACAAAGAAAAGCCAAAGATTTATAAAATAATCTTTATTTCCAAACGTTTCGACATTCAATTTAATGTCGTCATCAGTGGATCTAAAAACAGTATGAAAATTAGCATATCTAGGTAATTATAATATATGTGGATTGGTAAAGTAACTATACAATAAGAGAAAAATTAACAAACAGCAACACTTAACAACAAACCAAATATAAAAGATAGGAAAGGTAGTAGAGACTAGAATTAAATAAATAATTAAAAAGTATAGGCAGAAATATTTAAGTACACTCATATAAACGTATATGTGTATGTATATATATGTATATATGCGTAGGTTTATATGAGTGTACTTAAATATTTCTGCCTATACTTTTTAATTATTTATTTAATTCTAGTCTCTACTACCTTTCCTATCTTTTATATTTGGTTTGTTGTTAAGTGTTGCTGTTTGTTAATTTTTCTCTTATTGTATAGTTACTTTACCAATCCACATATATTATAATTACCTAGATATGCTAATTTTCATACTGTTTTTAGATCCACTGATGACGACATTAAATTGAATGTCGAAACGTTTGGAAATAAAGATTATTTTATAAATCTTTGGCTTTTCTTTGTTTGATGTATCGCCCTCAAGAACTCACTCATATATTTCAACATCAAAATTAACTACTAAATCATATATATATATATATATATATATATATATATATATATATATATATATATATATATATATATACATTGTTTTCATATCTCAGTCAGACAGAGGTGTCTGGTATGAGAGATTATGAAAAACAGTTTTCGATATTCCGAAAGCAAAGTATCGACATTTACTCAATAATCGATATTTCGTTCTAACACTAGGTACGATGATTCCAAGAAGTATCTGCAGGAGCACACCCATCTGGTTTGCGAGAACACGGCTAATTATCTGGTTATCTGGTGTATCAATCTGGAGATGGAGGAGAAGCACGATCTGATGGAGCATGTTGCACATCAGACGATATGTATGCAGTATATGCTGGAGCTGGCGAAGCAGCTGGAAGTCGATCCGAGGTAAGGGAAAATATAAATTTTAATTACATTTTTTTACATTTTGCTATTTTTTGTTAACAATTTGTTCAAACAAGTATATATTATTATATATCAAATGAAAGCTGATAAAATTGTTCTACAAATCTGTGTATAACAATTTAAAACTCTTAGTACAAAATTATATTAAAAGAATTTTTAAAGTTTAACATTAAACACAAAGTCGTTTGACGCCATTCTGGTAAACAAATTAGTCTGCAGGTTACATTTTTTCATATTGCGACAATTTTTTTTAAGAATTTGTTTAAACATGTTTATATTATTATATATCGTTCGAAAGCTAATGAAATTATCTACAAATGTGTATATATCGTTTAATAACTTTTCAAACAAAATTGAATTAGAAGCATATTTAAACTTTAGCATTGAACACAAAGTCGTATGACGCCATTTTGGTAAACCAATATGTCTGCAGGTTACATTTTTTCATATTCCGACAAATTTCTTTAACAATTTGTTCAAACGTGTATATACTATTATATATCATTAGAAAGTTGATACAATTCTTTACAAATCTGTATATAACAATTTGTAACTTTTAGAATAAAATTACACTGAAAAAATTGTTTAAAATTTATAATTGAATAACAAACCGAGTTGAAACAAAATGGCTGCACGTAAACGTAGAACGTAGAAGATTTAAATTTCAAATTTTTACCCTAATATATACTTTTTATATTTAGTCGTCAGTACAGTCACTTTGATCTATTTTTTTGTCGTTCTAATTTAGTCGACCCCACTGATAAAGTTTTTGTTTTCGTAATGTATGTTTTTTTAAGTAATTAGAATCTTTATAGAAAAAACAAACTTCTAAGAATTTTTTTAAATTCAGAATATCAGATTAAAAAAAAAACTCTACTGGCGAGCAATTTCGAATACAAATACTAAATGGTCATTTTACTAAAAAGGACTCTACTGACGAACAAATTTGGAAATTATGAGTAACATGAAAAGTCAAATGTCCTTTTAGAAGAAAAGGACTACTGACGAGAAATTATTCGTAAAATGACATTTTAAAAATGTAGGTTTTTCTTTTTTTTCTTAAATAACATTTTACCAATATTTTTCGAGTTCGCTCGCCAGTAGAGTTGTTTTTTCTTTAAATGACTTTTTTCTGATAGAATTTACAAATTTGTTTGTCAGTAGAGTCCCTTTTTATTTACTTTTTCGGTTTGCTCGTCAGTAGAGTTCACTTTCATTTTATTTTCTAGTTTGCTTGTCAGTAGAGTCTCATTTTTATTTACTTTTAAGTAGAGTTCTTTTTCGTTTTAAATTTATCATTTGCTCGTCAGTAGAGTTATTTTTTTGTCATTCAGATGAGTATTTAATTAACTTGTCAATAGAATCCTTTCCTTATTTTCTCTCAATTTGCTCGTCAGTAGGTCTCTTTTTGTTTTAAATTTTTTATTGCGTTGTCAGTAGAGTCCTTCTCCTTTAATATTTTTCTGTAGTCCTAATTTAGTTTGTTCGTCAGTAGAGTCTCTCTTTCATTTTCTTTCTTGGGTTACCCGTCAGTTAAGTTTCTTTTTTATGTTGCTCGTCAGTAGAATCCATTTTTACTTCATTTTGTAGTTTGCTCGTCAGTAGGGTCTATTTTTTACTTATTTTTAAGGAGCGTTCTTTTTTTGTTTTATACTTATCATTTGCTCGTTAGTAGAGCGAGTCCCTTCTCCCTAATTTTTTTTCTAGTATTAATTTAATTTGCTTGTCAGTAGAGTCCCTTTTTGACTTCTTTTTCGGTTTGCTCATAAGTGGAGTCCTGTTTCGAACAAGATACAATAAATCTTTAATATTTGCTCGACAGAAAAGTTTCTTTTTTATTTTCTTTTGGGAAGAGTCTTTTTGTTTTGAAATTATTATTTGCTTGTCAGTAGAGTTTCTTTCTCTTAATATTTCTACATAGTCAAGTTTCCTTAGTAATTAAAGTAGTTTGCTCGTCAGTAGAGTCCATTTTTATTTTCTTTTCCAGACTACTCATCAGTAGAGTTTCTTTTTTTTTTTTTAAATTATCATGTGCTTGTCAGTAGAGTCAATTTTTTCTGGTTTGCTCGGTAGTAGAGTCGTCCTTTCATATTTTCTTTCTTGGTTTGTTCATCGGTATAGTTCCTTTCTCACCTATTTCTTCCCATTTCATTTTTTGCCCGTCAGTAGCGTCCCGTTAATATATTACTTAATAATATTAGTTTGTCTATTTTATTCAA